GACAATCGAAGGTGGTTAACTTGCTTTTGTCACTAATCCTAAGGCCTTAAAGTAATACGAGGAGTTTAATCAATATTTATACCAGTAATACTTTTTTATATGAATAAATTGAAACTACATTGGGCTTTGCTAAGTTTGAATAAATCTAGCATGCTTTACCTTGGGGTACTTTACTTCAGATCAGATTCATAATTAAACTTTGTAGACAAGCGAGGATTTCAGAATGGTCTAAACTCAAATAGATATAGTCTAACAAAGTGGATGCAAAGGATCTCATAGCATAGCCGTGCTGCTGCAAATAATAACTAACTTCACCCAAAGCCAATTTTTGTTCATTACAATTAGTTGCTTAGTATGATATAAAATTCTTAGGACTGTTTATTCCTTATAGCCACGCAATTTTTGTAAGAGCAAAAAAATCTTGTTTGGAATAGTCACTCAACACAAGATAAATTTTACTTAAATTAAGCTGTTTTGCAAAATTCTTGCTTTATTTTAAATTATCAAATAATATATTATAATTTCCTAGGCTATAGCATTGAATAATAAAACAGAATTATTGATATTTAGTCACTGTGTTTTTCCCTACCTCATTCTAACCTCCCAACCTTGCGGATGAGACTCACCTCTAGGTACTCGCTTTTCTAATTGTCTTTCCCCGATGAAACTTTAATATTCCTATTATCAGCTATAGTGGATGATATTACAAATATATATTATTTTTTCAATAATTATGCTCTCTATTCGTACTCAGTTTAGTCTTAATTGTCGACTTTCTGGGGATGACATTCTAATTGGTATTAAAATCGTACTTAGTCAATAAATTTATACTACAAAAGCCTTCCAAAGCAATACATATTTAATCTAATGCCTGGTTCGCTATTTACTTAAAACTATCTATATTAGTAATTAGCTTTTTACATTTTTTGCTTCACATTCTTAATAATTATTTTTCAGCATATATAGTCATAGTGATGTCAAAATTAATTGGCCAAAACTTGATTATCGCAAATATAAACTGGAGCATCCTGATCTAATAAGACACGTCGAGCGACTTAGAGCAATCGGCCTTAAAGATCCTTGGATTCGGTATGAATTATATAATTTCAAAATTGTTCCTATCTTCCTCTCTAACATACTGCTTTTTCAGGAACTATGCTTGGCTTTATTCTCCCAATGTTCACGAAACCTTATGGCAGACCATGCGCCGAACAGTGCTCAAAAAAGCCCCTCATGGCTTTGTCACGGCACTTGCACTTACTGGTCTCAAAGTTGCTTACGATCGTATGCCATTATCAAACCTGATTAATCACAAAGCTGAGACTAGCGATACTTCAACTAATTGATCGAAATAGCTACGCCTTTAGTGATGCTGACTTTTAAAAAATATATAAACCCATAAGCGGGTAAATATTTTTCAAATTTAGCTATATATTGTATTTTAATATACAATTTCTAATATATATTTGGAAGGGAATCGATCTCATTTGCTAAACCTTTGTTACCTATTTCGTTGACATTTTAAATACCTAAAAGAGTAGTTCTGAACCTCTCTTATTCAGTTACTTTTTAGCCTGGTTGCGACTTGAAATATAGAGCATGGCCTTTTTCATAATGAGTATGCTGTGTGCTATGTTCTGTTGTGTCACAAAATTAAACTTCTCATGATTGGTCTAACTATTTATCATAACTTGTACATATGTTTAATTAGATGTGCAAGTTTTTTGTTTCACCTTTCTTTAATTCTGATGAAAGTTGTACCGGTTTGCGTTACTACCGGGTTCAGATTAGCTTCATGATCGACTATCGCTGAGTCACTCCTGTATCCTTTCCCCTGGAATGTTCACGTTCTACACGAATTAGGAATAAATTTCTTGGCTATTCAAGGCTACGCAATGTCTGATGTGTCTATTTTGTGTCTGTTCCTGCATTTATAATATTCTATCTTATCCCTTATAATATTGAATGAGGCATTATATGGGACATAAAATTTAACCATATGCTTCTGACATTTCGAAAGTCATGTGCTTCCTCCACTTGCCTTTGCTGCATCCGCCTGAATATTATCACTTACGAAGTTTATTCCACACAAATGTTAGAGCTGGGATATAGGCATAAGACTTCTAAGGATCGTTGTACACTCTGTAGTCTAAAAATACTTATTGTTTTATAATCAGCTAGTCCTTTAACAAGACATTTGGACGCTTAATTTGTCCTGATCACTTGCCATTCTTTTCGTTTTCCGAGTCGTTATATTTTATGTCAAATGCATATTCTTGATTAATGCTGTCTGCCCACCTCGATTTGGGTCATTGAGCGAATGATTGGTTTCATGACCGTGCTCCTTTTAACAGTAAACCTTGGTCAATATTCATGCATTATTTAAACAAGCCTAAGTGAGACCGATCTGATTAGAAATAGTGCTTATTTTTTTAGCGATCACGATTATGATCTTATTAAATGACAACATTATAATGCTGTGATATGACTTTCCATTTCGAATGGATGGTTGGCTGGAAGGAATTCGTCATGTGGTCTCACCGGAAACCGGAGGAGGATTTCCGCGTAGGAAAGATTGTTGAATTGTGCGAAGAAGTCCTCGGCTTACCGTCCTGCGACCCCGATTAAAGTGTGCTAATCCTTCCTCTGCTCTGTTACAGACATCATCAGAGCAGGTATCCATACTTAGTAAAATAGAGTTAAAATAT